GAGGTGAGAGATTTGCTTCTTGTCTCAGTTAGTGTGAGCAAGATAGCTTCTCAGCTTCTAGAAAATGTACATTGCAAGGCACTCTGCCCCTGGCTGCTCTGTCAATCTCTAATGCCCTTCTGCCTTATCAACAGGAGTGCTAAAATCTTCAGGATAGGTGAGATTCATCTGAATTTTAGTTATTCAGTACTTTGAGGCTGAAGTCTGACCTGCTCACCCTGGGCTCCTTGCACAGTCAGTGATGAAAATAAGGCACCTCCAGAAGGTGATTCATCTCCCTGCTGTTGATCTTAGGGGCGAGAGGAGTTGCCCTCTGGAAGCGCCCGCTTCCTCTGCATGGCTGTAAAGGGAGCCTAGAGCAATTGGCTCAGAATTAGACACCTAAAAGTTAGACATCTAAGCCCAGGCAGCTGAATCTCCTGCCTGGTGTCTGCCTGGCACTGTTCCTCCATTGCCATTCAGCTGTTCTGAATTTCCCTCCCAAATGCACGCGGCAAAAAAACTGATTCCCTGTGGGAATTCCCCAACACCTGTTCAAGATTGAAATCACCTCTCATTCCCCTGTCCCTTCTGTGCAGCTGAGATCAAACTGCGAGGGGAGTGAAGTGTGGAGCTTGGGTGGGAAGGGGAATGAGGTTAGCCTCCTGCTTGCAGCTCTGGTTCTGTTGGGTGAGAAGCCAGGGGCAGCTGTCGCTCCCCGTAGGTGACATCTGCATGTTGCTGCATGTGTTTGCCTTGCAAAGATGAAGGCACACTGACTGCAATCTTGATTTTACTTTTTTTCCCATTATGGTACTTTTATCCTCAAGTGCTGGACTGGCTCGGTGGCTTCCAGTGGGAATGGTGTCAGTTCTGATCGAGCACTTTGGTTTTCAGAGCAAACCCAGCGTTGCAGGCAGGGGGAAGAGCAGCGGGTGGGGGGAAGGTGTCCGGAACTGTTCTGCTGCTCCCATCCCTAGAGAAACCTCCCCAGGCAAACTCGCACCAGATCTGATGCCAGTGCTATGCAAAACAGCTGCCAGGTGAACCAAGGAGAGCGGCAGAGTCCTTGTCTGCTGGGCTGTGAGGAGTCAGCTGAGCTTATCACTGGGTTGTGGTTTTTTTTTCCCCCCTGTCTTTCCCCATCCAAAGGGGGATGAAGGTTGGTTTGATGGGGAAGCTCCTGGGAACCCTAGTGCTAGGGGACTCATGGTGATCTTCCCCCCATTGAAATCCCAGGGCTTCCCCAGTTTAATGCAATCTAAAGAGGGGGAGGAATGCATCTAGCAGATGGTGGAGACTTTGGATCCCATAGTGTCTGGCTGGTGTAGCAAGAGGCACATTGTTGGCTGGTGTGAAGCTCCAGTAAAATCAGTTCTGGCAGTTTGCAGCAGCTGAGAACCTGCTGCCACTTACACTTTTCTTTCTTTTTATCTCCTGGAGCTAGAAAAGATTAAATCTTAAGTGCAGATCCTCATTGTTTGAACAGCTCGTTTCTTTAAGGAGAGAAAAGGCTGCTCCAGTGTGAGGCCTGTTGATAGAAAACTGGGAGGTGATAGAAACCGGGAGGAAACAGAGTCTGGTTTTAAAAAAATATTTATAGGAAAGTTACAAATATAACTGGAAAGGGAGAGTTGTTATCCCTGTCACACCCAAACCTTGGCTTGCAGCTGCAGTCGTTGTCATTTTCTTGGAACAAGAGATTTTACTGAAATAGAAAAAGATGAGATTTGTTTGCAAATAAATCTGTGCACAAACACTCCCTGGTCCTGCTGAGAAGCTGAAGAGATTGTTGCATCCAGCTCCCATTTACATAACCACCAGGAGCAGAAATCACCTCGCCCAGTTTTAAATATCTCACTATTGGACATCTAAGTCTGAAGTAGCTGCCCCTGAGGTTCCTTTGTAGTCAATAAAGGGAAATACTCATCTCCAGAGGGCCATTCATCTCAGCTCAAGATAGGCGTCTGAGATAGGTCAGATGAATGGCCTCTGGAGGTGCCTATTTCTCCCTGCTGTCTACCAAGACAGCCTGGGGCAGTTATCTCAGACTTAGACACCCAAGCTGGGACTGAGTTCATGTCAATCTCCCTGCATGTTTGCAGCGTGCTCCCCTGTCACAAAATACCTGGCTGAGGCTCTCCCGAGCAGCCCTGTTGGTCTGTGCTGGGACGTGCAAGGGAGCAGAGGGTGGGAGGTTTTTGGCTTGTAGGAGAGGAAGGGGGAAAGAAAGGTGAAGGTCTGTCAGCTGGGTGTGCTTGTTCAGGGAGGGAAAAGGGAGAGAGAGGGACCTTGGAAGTGGAGGAAAGGATGAGCTGGAGAACTTGGGCCTGGTGGTGGCACTTGGGGTGGAACTCTGCTCCAGCTGTGCATCCCAAGTTCAAAGTTTTGGGGTGTAGGACAGTGACTCAGAGCCATCACCCCTGGGACCCAGGGCTTTCCCTCCAGGCCTTTGAATCTCACCTCATCAACATGCTGCACCTGAATGTGAGTGAAACTCCTCCATCCAAGAAACCCGAGGATTACCTTTTCCTTCCTGTTCTATTTTAGCAGCTGGGAACTTGATCTCCTCCTCCTCCTCTCCTCCTTGCCTCCCTTCCCTTCAGCTGCTGCCTGCAGATTGCATCAACCCCCCCCCGTGGGGTTTTCAAGGTAGAAACTGCAGGCCTTGAAGATCCTCACGCAGCCCTGCTCAGGTGTGTGGATGCTGATTGTGATCACCCCTGCACACTATCAGCATTCCCATCGTGCTGTGTGCAGTTGTTGGCTCGTGGGGAGAGGAGCTGGAACACCATGAATGAACAGACTCCTCGGGCAGGAGCAGCTGGAGAGAGGTGGTCAGGGAGCAGCTGGTTCCAGCCAGAGACACGGGAGCACGTGGCAAGCTGGAGGTTGCAGCAGAGTCAGGAATGACATGGAGGGAGATAAAGACCTGAGACTGGGAAGAGAAAAAGCTCGGAGGGAGGGCAGAGCTTTCAGCCCAGCAGGAACACAGGCTGGGGGAGAAGGTGCAGAGCTGGGGCTGGACTGAGTTGCAGGTGATGAGAAGATAGAGGAGATTTCAGAACGGGTGACTGTTCTGCTGTGAGATAGTGCCCTGGCATTGTCTGATAGTGAAGATGTACAGCTCAGCCTAACAAAAGCAAGAGAGGCAGCTCAGTTTGCACAGTCAGTGCTGTTAATGTGGTGCAGATTAAATCTCCAGAGCTGTTTCTCGACAGCAGAGAATAGGGTGCAATGAAATTGTTATCACTGACTCTTAAAATATTTTGCCATCTCTGAATAATTGCACCCAGCACGTTCCCCCCTGAGCATCACACAGAACCGTGCTGATCCACCTGGGAATATTCTGTGTAGGGTGCAAGATGGAAAGAAATGCCTGCTGGATTGGGGTAGAGGCTGGTGCAGCTGAAGAAAGCAAGTCAGTGGGAGAGCTGGACTTGCACTCCTGCCTGCACAGCCTCTTCCAGCTTCTTGCAAGGCATGAACTACTGAAAAACACGATGTGTTGAAGCTTGATCAGATCACAGGGCATGGGCTCTGCTTTATGGGGAATGTTACACTGGAAAAAAAAAACAGGAGGAGGGAGGCCTGGGGGCTCTTGCTGGTGGGATGTGAAGAGTTTAAGGCTCTTTATCACAAACTCAGTTGGACTGGAAGAGAATGGTTTAGGAATGGGTTGCAAAGGGAAGGGGTTTCTTGGGGTTGCCTTTGCAACTGAAGAAGCTTCATGGAATCCCTTAAAGCATTCAGATCTGTGGAGCACACAACCTTTCCTCTGTGATGTTCTTGATGAATTTGGCAGGTGTGATGGGGGGGGTTGGGGGGGGAGGGAGAGAGAATGTTTATCATCAAAGGGGAATGAGTGAGGGCCTGTGCGGTACCTTCAGGCTGAAACCTGTCTGATTTTCCCCCTGTGCCTGCCAATCTCTTTTGGAATCAAGGAGACGCCTCTCGAGCACAACCCCACGGCACCCTCTGTTCCTTTGGATATCCCGGGGTTGCTCCGTGCCACACGGGCTCCTGAAGGTCCCTGCTTAGCAGCCTTGGCCACCTGCTTGCTAGCCCCTCTCCTGCAGTTAGGTTGTGCTTTTATGTACCATTCCCTGGGCCTGGATTTCCCTGGAGGTTTGTAACATCCTCCAGCTCACCCCTGCTGGAATCTCCCTTGTGGTCAGTGAGCTTTCCCCCACCCTTGCTGCTTGGCCAGGTATCTCCCAGGCAGGAGCACTTCTGCTACACTCCAGCAAAGGCTGATAGCACCAAACATGGAAAAGCACCTTCATGATTCCATTGCTGCACTCACAATGACTCCACCTTCCTCCTCCTTCCCTAGCTTTTATAGTAAACTGCTCTGGGTTAGCAGCCTGTCCTGGGTGGTGTGTGTTCTGAGTTCTGGAAAGTTCCCATCAATGCTGACTGTCATTCATACTGAGATATGTTTCTGTTTGTTTCATTGTAGGAAATGAACAGAATGGGCTGGACTTTAACAGGCAGGTAAGAGACTCCCTGGGTTACCAGGTATTCTCCTGCTCTCTTGATTTACTGTTTTTTAATTGCTCATCTTGCTGAGTCCCAGGCAGCTTCTGCTGAGAGATAAAAACTCTCAGGTCAGAAGCTACCATTAAACAGACCACATAAGGACTTCCCAATTCCCCTTGTGGGATAGAATGACAGATTAAACTTCTGGTTTCCAGGCCTTCCTATTTCATAGCAGTTCAGTTAATTAGAGAGTTTCTTTAAATCACCATTTCTTGAGGCTTTTTTGGTTGTGTATTTTTTTTTCTCCATTGTCATTTAGAAACAAAAGGGGCCTGGGTTCCAGTGGCAAGTGTGCAAATCCCACCCCAAATCCCTGTGCATTTGTACTGTTTGTGACACTGGGGCTGAAGGCACTGTGGGAGGCAAGTTCAAGAGCCCAGGGCTGACTCACAGGAGTATCAACAGGATTGAGATTGAGGTGGTTTGAGGTCTTGGAGTGTGTAGGTCAAGACCAGGCCTGCCTACGATGGCACATTCCTCTTTGCAAGACAGTGGGGAAAGGGACAGCAGGTAAAAGCAAGTGCTTCTTGCAGGGCAAGCAAGCCCTAAGTGCACAAGAGTGTTTGAGGGACAATGGTCTTTGCTGTGTTTGCTGTTATCCCCCTGCTTCCTGCAGCTAAAAGCATCCCCTGTCTCACCGAGTGCCTGGAGATTTTTTTTCATGGCTCTGAGAAGTCCCTGAATGTCACATCAGAATTGCAAGGGGAGGCAGGTGACAGCCCTCCAGAGGGTACAGAGCTTGGATCTGTGCAGAGATGAGAAAATGTCCTCTGAGTCCAGAGCTAAGGGCTCCTGTGGCCACCAGTGGAGCTGGACTCTGACCTTGGAAAGAAGAAGAGGTCCAGAGAGCTGCTCCTGATCTGCTGCAGGACTCCTGGGGTTGGCCAGGAAAGGGGCAGTGACTCTGGGTAGATTGCAGCAGATGTTGGCTCTAACAGCACAGCAACCTCCCTGCTTCCAACCCTGCTTCCCCAGGATCAAGAGCTGAGGTCTTTGCAGAGCCTTCCTGTGCTGCAGGTGGCACCTTCTTGCAGGGACTTCCCTGTCCCTCCAGCTTGCCTGGGTGGCTCTTGTCTGACAGATGTCAGCAAGCTGCTGGCTTGCAAGCTTTGGCTGCTCTGGTTTTTGGGTGGGTCAGAACTTCCTATCAAAGGTGTCTTAACATGTTCAGCCATTTTCCAAGTTTTTTTGGAATACCCAGCTGAAAACAAAAAGCTTTGTGTCTCCAGCTCTGTGGAGTGCAGAGCCCAAAGCACAGGCTTCCCACAGGCCAAGAGCAGAATCCAATCTGCTTCTGAGCAGTGATAAAAGCAAATTCCCCCAAGATAGAAAAGAAGTACAAGATCATTACACGCTGCAAACTTTTTCCTATGGCAACACCACAAGAGATGATAAAACTGGGCTGGGGTTAATCAAGGGAAACATGATTGATTGTGGTGAAGCAACACTGATTTAGACCCACCAAAGATTTGACCCATGATCTTCAACATCCTAATCCCCTGCCTGTCACTGGTGAAGGTGTGGGGACAGGCAGCCTTGCAGTCATTAGGATTTGGGCCAGAGTTTTCTTGACAGAAACGCCCTCCCCCCCCTCCCAAAACAAAAAATATTGTGGTTTTCTGACACTTTTTTTGCAGCATTCACTTCCCACTTCTATTTTTCCCCTTCCACCCAGGGTGTACTACAAAGTTGGTGCCATTTGTGCCAGCACATCAGTTTGTGTCACTGAGGGGTAGGTTTTTAAAAGCTAAAGCCTGTGAACAACCACATTTTTAGTGTGTTTTTTTCCTAAGACCTGGTGCAATTCCCCAGCAGGTGAGGGGTTTGCAGAGCAGGGGTTTTGCAGTGATGTTAGGGAGCAGGTTGTAAAAAGTCCATGGGAGTGGACACCACGGCTCTTTGTCTCCCTCTCTTGGCTCTCTCAAGGCCATGTGTGGACCTGAGCCCTTATCCTTATTGTTTTAAATCCAAACGAGCCCAGATGCTCCCAAGTTCCACACTCACGTTTCAGCCTGACCTCAGCTATTGGAGAATTCATCTCCAATTCAGCAAATAGATTTCAAATGATGAGAAAAAAAAAGGAAGAAGGGAGATGTGAAAATATCAAAGTGTTTTTATGTAAAATCAGGTGCTGAGCTCTTTCATTAGGGGTGGAGGTTGGTGGGTTTTTTAATTTTGGTTTGGTGTTTGAGGTTGATTTTGGGTGGCTTTTTTTTTGTTGTTGTTACCTTGCAATTCAAGTTTTCAAACTGAAGCCAAAGTGTGGTTTGAAATCCAACTCCAAACCCAATGCAGGAGCTGCTGAGCTCTCTTTAACTTTATTTGGAGTTCTGGGCCCCTAATCTCTTTGAAGATCATAAATCTCACATCATTTAAACCTCTCCCCGTGTCTTTGTAGATGGCCTACATTTCAGTTCTGTTTCCCTCCCATGTTCTGCTTCAGGCAGGAAGAGAAGGGTGGAGTGACCTGGTTAGACCCCATCCTTGCCTACCAGTTCCCTGCTGTGGCTGCTTTCACCCTGCAAACGGGGAGGAGGGAAACTCTTGTGGAGTTTGAGGTTTTCTAGCAGTTTGTGGGTCAGCCCTCCTCTTTATGAGAAAGCTGCCTTCTGATCCCTCAACCTATTTGGCAAACATTTCTTCCCCCCACTGCTCCCCCCTTCCAACTCTCCTCCCACCTGGATGCAACAGTCATTTGTATGTGAATGAGAGGGAAAAGGGTGTGTATGGAAAAAGCAGCATCTTCTGCCTTGCCTATCTGGTTTGGCTTTTTATTTAGTGAGTCTAATGCTGGTTGTTTCCTGTTTATATCAAGGGAAATGCAAAGAGATAGTAATAAACTTTCACCTTCAGTGCTGGCAACCTGAGGAGGGACATCTGCTCCTTGGTGGTTTGGGATCGTGGCCAGAGCTTTTCAGGGACTGAACTGAGTAACTTTGCAAATGTGGCTGCAGAGTCTTGGCGTGGAGGGGACTTGAGTGGGACCAGAAGGTCTGAGAAAGTGTTGAAATCAGAATTTTCCTCGCTGTAATGTGGTGATCCTCCCCAGGTGATGCTGCTGTGGTGTCACCAGGTCTTGTTTGGTTTGTTTCCCTGCTGGTGCTCTCAGCAGTGCTGCAGTGTCTGTGTGTGTAGATGGCTCTGAGGGGAGCAGCTCTAGAGAGTCAGGAAACCCACCCACTGCCTGCCCTTCATCCCTGGGACACTGCTGCCTTCTGGAATAGGCACATGGAGTTGGGGCTGATGGTTGTTGGAGATGACAGGGCTCGTGTGAGTGTTGTCACCCAGCACATAGTGCTGTGCATCAGTCCACAGCTGCAGGAGGAAAACAGGGCAATGCTGAATCACTGATTCCTTTTCCATCAGGGAGGTGATGGGTAGGACCGTGTCTTCTGGTGGTCCTTGCAGCAATGCAGCCTCTGAGGTCCAGGGAGGAGCAAAGACTCAGATCTCCTCTCCTTCCAGAGGACTGAATGAGAGGTTATCTCTATGCTCTCAGGCACTGAACTGCACTCTAGTGCTGGAAGAGAACACATCTCCCTCAAAACGAAGCTGAAAGATTCTGTGTTCCCAGTGCAGGGAAGGCTTGGCAGGATCTGCATGTGCTCTGTTCCTGAAGATGTCCTTGCAGTTTCACCCCAGCACAAGGCTTAGCTTTGCAGACTGGTTGTTATTTGTGTAATAATAGTAGAGGTTTGATACTTGTATCAATGCAAAGACAAACCTGCCGTGAGAACTTACAATATTGCAGACAGACAAACAGTCACTAGTGTGTTTGAGCAGCCCCAGGGCTCAGCACTGCTTGGATTTTCCAATTTGCTCTTTATTCCTACGACTTTGTTTTAGACCAATTGGGGGATGTAATAAGGATAGAGAGTCCTAGAATCATGGAATGGTTTGGGTTGGAAGAAAACTTAAAGATCATCCAGTCCCACCCCCCTGCATGGGCAGGGACACCTCCCACCAGCCCAGGCTGCTCCAAGCCCCATCCAACCTGCCCTTCAACACTGCCAGGGATGGGGCAGCCACAGCTTCCCTGGGCAGCCTGGGCCAGTGAACCTCTCTCTTTCAAACAGACCCCCTAGAAATAGGATTTTGGGGTGGATCTCCCTAGGAAAAGGAGGTCGCTTGCAGATGTATTGCTGGGCCAGGAGATGCCTTCAGAACACCAAGGGAAGCATCCAGAACAGAATAATGAAATAAGATGTGGAACTGAAGTGGCCTCGTGTTTCACGTGCACATGAGCCCAATGTCTGTATTTGCACACCAGGCCAGACCTGCTGCCATGTGCCAGTGCAAGGGGCACTTCTCAAAAGCCTCCTCTTCCAGGGGTCAGTCAGCATGAAACAACTGAGCTGCTTGAGATTCCCTGCCAGCAGGACCTGAACAGACTTTTTTCTTTTGCCAATTGAGAGTGTCTACTAGTGTATCACAGCAGAGTGGTGAGGGAACTGGCTCTGGTGAAAAAAAACTGCTCCTTTTCAAAAGCAAGTGAAGGGGTCTGTGTGTTGCTGTCCTGCTCTCTGCCAGGGGGGCCCAAGGGCTTCCTCTCCCTGCTCTCTTCCTACCTGACTGAGTCACTGTGCAAAGGAACTTGAGTTTTTGAGGCTTATGTGGAGTTTTCAGTGGTTGTTTGAGGTGATTGAGTGAGTTGTCTCAGGTCTTCACAGCTGGTGTCCTGCAGCCACATGACAGGGGAAAAAAAAAAGTGAGCAAACTGCACCTGAGATATAAGATCCCTGGTGACTTTCAGTGCCATTAATAACACTCTGACCTTGATTGGTACTTTCCACCCACACGTCTGAAGGTACTTTGCTAATGAATTTAGCACCCCCATGCATCCAGAAGGTAGGAAGGTGTTTCACCCTGCCTTCCAGATGAGGCAGACACAGCCAGACTGCCTGGCTTTTCCCAAAGATGCTGAGCACCACGATTGCAGTGGAAATCAGTGGATG